GTCCAATCGTCCAGAGATCACGAGTTTGAATCCCAGTGATGCCACAGCCATCCGTGGCTGGAAGCTAAGAGAGCAAAATTGGCCCTGCTCTCTGGGTGGGAGGGGCATGCTCTCTCTCCCCTGTCAATCACAGTGACACTAACCAATCATGAGTGTCTGTGAGCTCATGTATGCGGAAGGGGGTAGATGGCGCTTCCCTTCAAGTGAACACATTTCCCACTGTAAACGTATAATTCTAATTAAACTTATAAGTTAAAATTAATAAATAATATTGTTTTCATAAGTAAATTATGTTATAAATGTAGAGGTAGGTGCAGCGTCTTTCAGTAGAATTGGAATGAAATTTTAAATATCATTTTCTCCTTTTTCATTTTTGGGGTTTAAAATGCTGGAATTTTATTTCAGATTAAGATACATGCCAATGAGACATCAGTTTCCCTGTCTGTAGAGTTCACAAATAAATAAATAAATAAATAAATAAATAAATAAATAAATAAGCTTTAATGACAGTGTGCACTCTGGCATAGACTCCGCAAGTTAGTGTAAAACCTGATGTTAGATCAAATCCATCAGCGTGTTGTCTGAACACAATGGAAGGGATAAGACTCATGGAAAATCTGTATCACAAATTTGCTTAAATTTACTTTAAATTGAATAAACTTTCTGTTAATCCCAGATTTTTATTGTGGTCTCAGACTTTTGGTCTCAGACTTTTGGACCCTACTGTAAATATGCGTTTCCACTAAGAATTTTGGTGCTGGTCATGGTGTCCAGGAACAATGCAGTTCACCGGACAAATGAGTATATAATTCAGGTCATATGTTAATTACTAATGCTGTGAGAAAACACTGCAATTTTGGGCCATACAAGAACGACACCATCAATTAAAATTAACATTGAATTAACATTTTTTTGCATAGTCAATGCTTAAATAAACATGAAAAAATAGTCAACAGGCCAACAAAAAATATCACTTTATGACACGGCTGCTAATAACATTTTATTTATCTTTGTTTTAACTAGATTGAAACGTATTTAAAGAAGCAAACATTACCTTGCAGCACATATTCTCAAACGTACGACATTCTGGCTTGTGTGCAGAGAGAGACCAGGATCATATGTCTCGTTTTTTTGAACTCGACCACTGTAGCTGTGATTTGTTAGACGTCATTGATTCCGCAGCAGTGGCTGTATGAATTAGAGACTATAACCCCCAGTAGCAGCACGCTTAAACATCTGCATTTCAACTTTGACTGTTTTTCATTCAGCATATCATCTCTATTCATTTAAAGAGACATGCATTATTGAATAAATGGAGGTGTAGAAAAGGTCTTTACTTACTTCAAAAATCATATGTACTTTCATTAATTTGAAATTTGTATGTCTTTTAAATGAATATTTTTATTTTTACACTTTGTCTGGCAGGATCTAAATTTAAAGTGTGTGTGTGTGTGTGTGTATGATAGAAAATGCCAAAATGAAACCATACGCATACACAGTGTATAAAACTAATTCTAGCACAGACATTGTGATAATGGGTTGCACGGTATTACTGCAGTATTACGAGTATAACATTACTTGGTTTATTTGTTTGCCTCTTGGGAGGTCTTCGAGGAAGATTATGTCTGACAAGCTGTGTTGACATAACTGCAGCATGATACACACTTTCTTGCTACAAAAAAGAAGTCTCTTTTGATTGTCATATTTGATTTTCATCAGTCGGAGTGTAGCACACCTTATATACAAGACGAGATGTATAAAAAAGTAAAACACACACACACACACACACACACACACACACACACGTTTGTCCTGCTGTGCTGATGAGGACCTTCCACTGACATAAGGATTAACGCAGCTAACTAGTACATTGCCTACACCCAAATCTAACCTTTACCTCAGTAACTAAAATGCTCTTTTAGTTTTATAATAAATAAAATCTGCAGTTTTTTATAAAAGCAGATTTCCTTGTGGGGACCAGCTAAATGTCAAAACTGTCAGATATTCCTATCCTTGTGGGGTCACATGGTACTCACTAAGGTATTAAAAATATTCCCCCATATTGTTTTTTCTATCAGCTTGCAGACTTTGCATTAAATCCATGTACAGACCTTGGCGACGTTTATACCGTAAGTGGCTCTGTGTGTACGTGTGTGTGTGTGTGTGTAAGGCTGAGAAAGGTAGGAGACCCGTGAGGAAGAAAGCACCTTTGCTGCATGTGAATTATTCACCAGCTTTTCATTTGTTCTCCTGTGTAAATCTGGCAGTTCAGTGTGATGGAGCGGAGGCAAGGCACAGAGTCCCCATCACCGTCTCATTCGAAATCACATTTCTTCTCTTCCCAGCACGGCCCTCTGTTTTGATGATCAGCCTGATTAAACTGTACTTTTATCAAAGATGCAGTAAATGCAATCTCCCACAAACCTTCCGCTATTAAATGAGGAGAGTAATAAATATTATCTACTGCGAGCAGGCAGTGTTATGGAGGTTAGCTTAGGAAAAAAAAATGTATAGCACCAGATTCCTGAAACCAAAGGAACCAAAGGATAACACAGTCTTATAAAAAGTTACTTTCTAAAACGCCTGAATTTTTTTTTTTTTAAAGTCCTGATATTACAGAGCTGTCAGTGAACTGTAAAAGCAAGTGATGGCTAGAGTATATGCGCATTCACTTCTTTACTTTCTGTATTTCTTTTGTGTTTTGAGTTAAGAGGAAGTGTATTACCTGCAAATACAATCCAACTGGACAGTAACAATGTACATATTTCATTCTTTAGGAGGTATTTTGCTGTTAATATACTAGAGAAAGACATTATTTTGGCATGGATGTTTATACTCCACAGATTCTGATAATGTAATTCAGTGTTTTCGTTACATTGTGCTATTTTTTGTTACTTTAAACCCAGAAGTATGAAATTATTCAGGTTATTATATCTTAGACAAGTCTTTGAGGTGGATTAAATGCATCAAGTTGTATTTAAATAATTACAGCCAATGGTAAATCAGAATGTAATCCAGCCATTAGTTGGCTTTTTTTTTTGCAAATGCTTGTTAAAGGGATCTGCAAAGTCATTTTTTCCTTAAACTTCCAAGCTAATGGTAAATTTTTTTACGATCAGTAATAATTTTTCAAATCTGCCTAAAACAAGATTTTATTCATGCGTTATAGTTTCTTGTACACCACGGCACTGTTTGATTTTCTCAATTTTAAGTAGTTAGAAGTTGTTTTTCATGACATTAGTGCAGCTATATTAATTACATTGATACGTTGCTGTTTCTATGGCAACGACTTGCGCAAGAACTTGTATAAGCAGATGAAAAAAATTCATTGTTGATGTGGTGAAGTGTGCTGTATTTATGGAAGGATTTATGGAAGGAGATTCCACTGTCAGTGCTTTGCAACGGTCAGATATAAAGCTGTACGTTTTCAGACAAAGCAAAAGGATTTTATCTGTAACTTGCCAAGGTGTGATTTATTTGTCTTATTCTTCAAGTGAGAGAAAAAAGAGGCTGCGAGGGAACGGCTGTTTATAGCTGCTACGCTGGAACTACCTTGTTTTGTGGACGTTCCACAAAATGAAACGTATCAATAAATAGATAAAAAGTATGTCATTACTTTCTTTTATGAATAAAATGGTTGTTATTCTTGGAAAATTGCTATGGCATAAAAATAAGAGGAATAAGACACTTCATGATGTGCTGTTATAGGTAAATAATCAACTTCAGGGTTATTCCTTACTTATTTTAAGCTGTGTGAAATTTGTCGCTGCCTTTCTACTGAACTTCTTACATTGATTCAGCGGTTATGAATAGGAAGTGGCATTTCCAATCATTACTATAACCTTTAGGATTTCCAGCACATTACGTAATTAAAACTGGAACATAACCTTTTTCAGTTTGAACAAATTGGAAAGAAAGAAAGTAAAAAGAATGTTTCTGATAATTACTAAGCACCATTTTCAAACTACCATAACAGTTTCCAAGCTTGCATTGTGTGTGTGTGTGTGTGTGTGTGTGTGTGTGCATGCCTCCATCCCCTGTCTTTTCCTAATGAGCTTGATGTGTCCATAACTGATGGCTTGCTAGGCAGGGGGTCAGAAGTAATTACCCAGACAAGGACAAAAGCAGCATGGCATGAGGAGGAGCAGGCGAGGTGTCGCATGGTATTAGCGGCATCCTGAAGGAAGCTCGGCCCAGCAGACGAGCTGAGGAGATGGCGTGGTCAGAAGGTTACACACAGGCAGTGCTGTCATGCGTTTAACAATATGGGCAATTTCTTCTTCTTCTTCTTCTTCATTTCTATTTTTTTCATATCTTTGTTTCTTTATTCTGTTTTTATACACTAGCTCAGAAGAGAATGAGAAAGAACTTGAAAAGTTGCAAACTATACTGCACATATTGAGTTATTTTGTACGTAAACCCCGACCATTAACAAATATTTCGATCGAGGTGGTGGTGGGCTTAAAAAAAAGAAACAGGACAGCTAATCAAGAGTCTTGAGCAAAGACAAGGATCCAATTTTAGCATGAAACAAAAAAAAGCTCTATCAAATTTAGAAACTTGATTATTAGATTTACTTATTCAGATTATTGTTCTTTTTTTTCTAGAAGAGACTCAATAGGTATAGTGTAATAATAACAGCAACTTTTCTGCTGACATTAAAACAGTATTATTGACATTGATGATCGGGCAAAATCTGTGTGTTTTACTTTTGAAATAATATTTGATATACTTTATTTACAACACAACATTTTCGTCGTATTATCTTCAAGAGAGATTAAAAAAAAGAGAAGCTGGCGAGGGAACGGCTGCTATTACAGCTATAAGTAATGTTCTTTCGGCTGCTCCCGTTAGGGGTGGCCACGGCAGATCAGTGGTCCACATATTTGATTTGGCGCAGTTTTTATGCTGGATGCCCTTCCTGATGCAACCCTCCCCAATTTATCCGGGCTTGGGACCAGCACTGGGAGTACACTGTCTTGTGCAACCCCAGTGGTTGGTTCCCTGGCCGGGGATCAAACCCAGGCCATGGTGGTGAGTGTGCAGAGGCCTAACCACTAGTCCTCCAGGGATCTACTCATAAAAGGAACTAACTTGTGTCATGGACATTCAGCAACATAATGCATGACGACTAAAAGATAAAAAGTACAGTGTGTCGTTCTTTAATAAATAAAAAATCACAATTGTTGTAAATTGCTTTGGAGTACATAAAATGCGGTGTGTTTTATTGCCTTTCCTGTCTGTTTACCAAGCGCCTACCCAGTTAACCATTTTCTGTTTGCAGATCATTTTTTAAGCTTCACAGTTCTCGGAACTTTAAATTCATAAAACGTTTAATCCATCAGGTGTTGCAGGTGTTTTTGTGCAACGTCTATAAACGTTTCTACAACATTGCTGCAACAAGTCTTTAAAATGGTGTTATCAGAGGTCTACAATCTGTGTAATGCCATCCATTATTACAGCGGGTGTTTTAATAACATCGCATGAATGTTACAACCTTCATAGAACCTTCATTGAACCATACTCTTGTTGATGATGAAGATTACTGTCCTCATTTTTTTTAACTAATATCATCTAAACCAGTGCTTTATGGTGATTTTCACACTTGGATTTTTGTCTGGAATTGGAACTGTTTGAGCCCTGAGTGCTATATGATTGTTGAAGTGTGAACGGTCCTTTTGAAAACAGTGGTCTGGCGTTTGCTTCCACCAAAGCGTGGCGCGATCTGCATGAGGTGTAGAAGCTATCTGCACTCAGCGCTGCCTGCTGAGTAACATGATTGTTTCAACTTGTCATGTTACTTACTGTTTCTACTTTTGTCATGTCGGGGGAAGGGTTGTTATGGTTACTAATGTAGAAAACCAGACTTTCACAGGGCTAAAGCACTATAATTAGTTCAACATTGTAGTGCGAGTTTGCATCATGAAAAATCACATGCCTCATGTCAGCATGCGTAGCTTCTTACACAAGATCGGCTTCTCGTTTGCAAATGTTCCTGCATGATGACGTGCCATGCATCCAAAAAGTGTTGCTCTTCACTGCTTGAGTGTTGGTACCACAGGAAAATAATGGAAAAAATATATATAGCAAATGGATAAACCTAGCACCTATCAATTTGCAAACCTGCGTGCACAAAAGTGACAGATGGAATGTGAAAGCAAACCTGCGTTTATAAGCCCCTCCCCCTAACGAGCCCAGAATCTGTCCTGAGGGAGGATAAGAGTATTTGGACCACGTGTGAAAAACGCCCTATTTTTCAAGCACATTTAGCCAAAGGACAACTCAACAGCCGTCATGCCTTCTGATCAGTTAGAGTACAAGTCAAATCAAACATGAGACTAAGAGTCACACTAAAATATCCAGCCTTGTCATGTCACTATTTGATTCTTAAATGTTTCTATTTGATTCTTAAGCAGGAAATGACTCACTTCCACAAAAGTGCTTGGTTTCATTGCATTTTACCTGAAAGACTCAGGCAAAGACAAAGCCTGTGTATTTTTTACACACACACACACACCCACACACACACACAATCTTGGATTTCAGCCTCAGTGTTTATTTTGTGGTAGCTTATCCTTCCAGGACAGGAGCTTGTGAACTGAATCACTCAGAAGCATCAGTCATGTTGGCGTAGTGAATCCCCCAGGCACACACACTGCAGCGGCAAACATCCTGTTACGATGAGCAGAAAATGAGTTCACAGATCAAATGTCCTATAAAATGAGTTCATAGATTAAATGCCCTTCACCAGTCACTGTAGGCGCTACAGGCGGCGCTTATTTATTAGGAGAATTCCATTTTAATAGGCGTACAACCTTTTGTTGTCCTTTACGACAACACATGAACGCATTCGGCACAGCCCTGGGAAGAAAAGGAAATAACACATGGGTGCCTGCTTTAATTTCTAGCTCACCTCCTGCTGGCCTTGAGCTTCTTGGCGGATTAAGCTTACAGCAGGCTCTGTCATAATGAGCTTGAGGAGATAATTATTTCTTCGCATCCACTGACAGGAACACAACAGACATTTAAATATAGATAGACACTGATGAAGAAATGAAAGGAGTGATGGGTCATTTTCATCTGTCTCGTGCCACAGGAGTCCTGTCATCCATATGTCCCCAGGTTGAGATGCTCAGTGGGAGGTACTTATCCATGAGTTAAAGCTCCTTAGTATATGAATAAATCTCTATTGGCCAAGCTGATTTGTGACATTTAACCTGTAAAATCAGACACACTCTCTTCTTTTTTTCTTTTTTGCCAGATTGCAGCCAGTGGACTCAATTCACTATACATTACAAGCCTTCACTCACTTACTTACACTTACACTACATACTGTGTGTATCAGAATGTATGGAACAAAATAAAATGGCCTGCTTTAAGGTAAAATTTTAATGTTTTTTATTCTTTAAATACATCACAATTATTTATCGAAAGTGAGACCTTACCTAGATCTTTACGTTGTCATGTATGAGGTAGTGCTTTCATAGAACTCAATACACACACCAATGCAGCAAAACAGTAAGGAAAATAGTCAATGCCAAAATCAACTTTATCACCATTATGTATATTAGACAATAAAATGATGTAGTGAGTCCTTCAGTACTAGATTTTATATAAAATGACACACAAACACAAAGTACATCCATAAACACAATGGAGAAATACCACAAATACAACATTAATAAAGTAGTGCAAGTGGCTTAAGGTGCAGAAAATGATTGGGTGCAAAGGCATATGTCCTAAAATGACACGCGAAATAAAATGATATAAAAGCACATCTAAAGACTGATTGAGATGGTGCCTTGCTTGGTGATTTGGCTCATGCCGCTTTGAGCAGGGAACGTGTTTTTAAGGACAGCAGGAACCTCTTTGCTGAGAGTGACGAGAGGCTCATCAGTCGATTGCCCAGTGTGACTCCCCCAGCAACTCGCCCCACTTTCAGCGAGGCCAAATATAAAATGCAGCAATTCCATCCTCATGCACAAGCCGCTCTAGGGTTTCTTAACCATGGGCACATTTCACTGAGATGTTTCCCAACAAACTATGAGTTAGGGTTGTGTGATATGACAAAATGATCATATCGCGATCCTCTTTTCCATGATACACAATATGTATCATGATATACTGTATATAAGTTTGCTATACAGTATATCTGCCATCAATACAGTAGTGCTATTAAACAAAACTGTTATAAATAATTATACATTTGTTTATTATTAATAAATCCATTTATAACACATTTAGTTTTTAATGTTTTTATTTACAAAAAATAAATTAAAAATATTTGACACTGTATTTTTTTTTTTTTTTTACAATTTTAAAGATCAAATACAAAATTTTAACATTACATCAGCTGTTCCCAGTCAGTTTGTAATTATTTTTATGAATAACAAAAAAAAATTAATATCACAATATCTCAGAAAAGCGTATCGTAACATAATTTATCACAATATCGATATCGCATTGTCATATCGCCCAGCCCAACTATGACCTAAATAACTATGACACGTCTTACATGTATTGATATCACGTATGTAATACCAAATAGTGGAAAAGACAACAATAATGAGGAATTTTCATGCCTTCACAGGTCTTCCAAATGTAATTGGGACAATTGCGTGCACATTGTCACCTTGTAAAGTTTTTTTTTTTTTTTTTTTTTTTAATAAATATGGTGATTTGGGAGCGTTTCTTTATGTAAATTAGTGTGGCCATGCATGAGCAGAGCAATTTCGAATGTGTAGGATTTATCAGCATCCATTGTGTGCAAGCTGTGTGTATGCATGTGTAATTAATGCCATTTTTCTTGTGCATCTTAAGCACAGAATTCGAATTTCTCAGCGGTAACAGCTTTTTGGTAATAGTTTTTTAATGGTAAGGGAGTGTCCAGAGTGAAATCATTCTGATATTCCAAAAACCTATACCTGATCTTATTTATGTCTTGAAATAAAACTTCAACAGAATTATTTGCCTTGTTTTGTTTGGAAAATGTGTTAAACTGAAACGAGAAAGTGTTACCCATTATCAACTGCAGGTAATTACCATTCATAGCTATTCTGCACCAGTGGTTTAAAAACCTGTTCCTCTTCCTGTTCTTATGTGAATCACGCAGACTCTATGCTCTCTCTTGGAAGTGTGGCAGGCCATGAAATGGAATTTTTTCTGTCGATTTTGAGCTGAAGATGCCAAATCAAGATGGAGTACAAGAAAATAAGTAGTAGATAAACATCAAGCCCTGACTCCCAGTGTTACCGCCATTTCCAAACTCCTTAGATACCACACAAATCCACTTCAAAAAGTCTGTGAAATAAATAGAAAATGGGAAACAGATTATTTTGTTAGACTTCTTGATTGGATGTGAAGTTGAAGAAATAAATCCATTGGTGCCCCAGAGAGTGGGTTAGCGTCTTCCACTTCATCAGCTGTTAGCGAGGCATGCGGAAAAAACACTGCTGATGAGGCCTGTAAGCACAGATAACATTCAAGTTAAGCAGGATTAGACTGGCTCCATGGACCTCTGCTCCACTTGCTCAGATCCAGGATGGAAGCAGTGGAAGTTCAAAGGAGAAACTCGGATCTTCAACAGAGGACTGGAAGCGGTCGGGTGCAAGCCAGCTGTTTCTCACAATGCTAATCCTAGTGAGCATGAGTTATCTCTTGAAAATGTACTCAGTGTGACTTTTCAAGTCGTTTTCAAGTAGGCATCTTTACAATTTTCAAATGTTGAACATTACATTTTATAATATTTTTAGGACGTTATACTATGTATCGGCTCTGCATGACACATTTACTGCATTCATTCATTCATTCATCTTCAGTAACTCCTTTATCCCAGTCAGAGTCATGGTGGTTTAAATGAAAAGAAGAAAAATCTGTAAAATGTAGCATACCTTTTCCTTCAGGCAAACCTTCAGGATTCAGAAGCTTGTGGCCAGAAAAGTGTAAAGCCATGGATGTGGATATAAGTCTGAGACTGTGTAATTTATAGTAGCACATGATCCCATATCCTCAGTCATCTGCCCAAACAATACTGTAGACAACAATACTATTATTCAGTGTTGCTGAAAAAATC